AACAACAACAACAACAACATTTCATCATAGGGTTGGGTATCGTAAATGATATTGCTTTCTTAGTTTCCTTTTCTGTGTTGTAGAGAAATCCCACTGATTTGTTTTGTATATTAGTTTTGGATCCCGCCACTCTACTTATTGGAGTTGTTGTTGTCATTGTGTACCATAGAGTCAGAACCCACACACAGCTGACCTTTCCAGTGGGTTTTTAGAGGCAGTAGTCGCGTGGGAGATTTTTCCATCCTTCTCCCACAGAACTTTTGGCCTCTAACGGTATGCCTATGGGATTGCAGCCCAGCTTTTTGCCGCGAAGCCACCACAGCTTCCTCACTAATTGGAGTAGTAGGTATAAAAGTTTTTTGGTTGAGTTGTTGGAGTTTTCTGTATATGCTATCATATCATCAGTGTATGGCTACAGTTTTACCATGTTTATGCCAATTTGGATGCTTCTTATTTCCTTCTCTTATTGCCCTGGAAAGTACTTCCAATACAATACTGAATATGAATAGAGATAGTGGACATCCTCTTAGTCAAGGACCAGAAGTTACCCAGGTGTGCAGAAAGGATTACCACTAAGAAGGTTGACATCAGAATCTAAATCTTGGAGGAAGAGAGTATAATTTCCTTGGCAATTTTACCATCTTCACAGACCCTAAACCTCCATTTGGTAATTAAGTAATCTCCCAATCAAGTATTTTCTTAGGTTGGTTTTGGTTTTTTCCTTTTCTCAGGTGGTGTGGATTTATATTAAGTACACTATAACCTTACTTTAAATTTATGCCACAGAGTGAATGATAGAGGCAACTTTCCTTTGAAACCAACTAGAGTTTTACTGCAGACCCAAAAATCTAATCTCTCTGGTGGTTTGAATCCATTAGCAGATCTTTGGGGGGAAATGGGCAATCTCCTCTTCTGTGATTTATAACATCAGAAATCCAATGGAGGATCACTATTAGTCAATTCTGACTTCATGGTAATGAGGGCTGGATTTTAAAAAAATTAATCAATTTTTTTTAGTACTTTAGATTTTATAGATATGGTTTTGTATTGTTGCTGTTGTTGTGTACCATTGAGTCAGAAATGATCATAGCTAACCCTCCAGTGGGTTTTTAGGCACAGTATATCACATGAGAGGAAATTGTTCATCCTTTTCCCATGGAGCATCTGGTGGATTTGAACCGTGTGCCTTTGGGATTGCCGTAGTTTCTTACCACTACAAAGAAAGATTATCCAGAAATGACTGGAATAGTACATTGACAGAGAACTACCAGAAATACAAGCTGGGTTTAGAAGAGATCGTGGCAGATGGCTCTTGGCAGAAAGAAAGCAGAGTACCAGAAGAATATCGATCTGTGTTTCATTGACTCTTCAAAGATATTTGACTGTGTGGATCTCAGCAAACTGTGGCTAACCTTAGGAAAAAGGGAATCCCAGAACACTTAATGTGTTCATGCAAAACTTATACACAGACCAGGAAGCAGTCCTCAGAACAGAGCAAGGATACACTGTTATGTTTCAAAATCAGAAAACAAGTTGTACATTAGGGATGCATCCTTTCTCCATACCTTTTCAATCTATATGCAGAACAGTTCACTTGTGAGATTAGTTTTAATGAGAAGGACTGTGTCATCAGGGTTGGAGGAAGATTCATCAACAACCTGCGTTATGCAGATGACACAATCCTGCTTGCTGAAACTGAGGAGGACCTGAAGTGCTTGCTGCAGAAGGTCAAGGACTATAGTCTTCAATATGGATTGAAACTCAACATCAAGAAGACAAATTCTCACCACTGGGCTAATTAGCAGCACCATTATAGATGGAGAAGAGATTGAGGTTATTAATTACAGTTTGTTCCCCTTCACAATCAATAATCTTGGCACCAGCAGTCAGGAAATCAAGACAAATTGCACTAGGAAAATCTGCCATCAGGAACCTCTCCAGAGTACTGAGAAGCAATGATGTCAGTCTAGAGACAAAGGTGCACCTAATACAGGTCATAGTCTTCACAATTGCTATGCTTCAGAGAGCTGGACAATAACTAAGGCTAACAGAAGAGGAATCAATGCCTTCAAGTTGTGGTGCTGGAGAAGAGTATTGAACATACCATGGACTGCCAAGAAAGCAAATAGGCCTGTCTTGGAGAGGCTAATACCAAGTTTCTCTTGGAGGCTAGGATTTTGAAGCTCCATCTCACATACTTTGGGCACATGGCGAAGAGGGATAAGTCCTTGGAGAAGGACATCTTGCTTGGAAGGGTGGAGCGACAGCGTAGGAGAGGAAGACCGCAACTGAGATGGTTTCATACAGTAATTGGGGCAATAGAGGGTGTGTCAGAATCAGTGAGACTGGCTCAGGACAGTGCAGGCTTCAGAGCTGCTGTATATAGGATTGCTATAAGTCACAGGCAACTCAAAGGCACATAACAACAATAAAGGAATACTTAAAGCAGAGGTAGCTACTATAAATACTTGCTTTATTTCCTTCCAGATACTAAAGGGCTTCATAAATGTGATTTAACTGTAAAGTTGTCAAACATGTTACATTCTCAAAGAATTGGGACCACAAAGCATCCAAAAAGAATCTGTGGGAATTTTGAAGTGAGAAGATTTTTCTTACCTCTTTCCCTCGGAGTCCAGTTCCCAATAAGTAAACTTGACTTTCCTCCTGGTATCGGATCTGGATGTTGTAAACTTTATCTTTGTACAGCACCATGAGGACATATGGATTGGTTACTGTTTTTTTAGAGCTGTCTCTAACCAGAAAAGTGCCATCCTAAAAGGATAAATTCTGGTTATTATGGGAACAGTAAAAGTCAATACTTTTATTGTTTTTAAGAGTCTTCGATGAGCCTCTAGGGACCTACAAAGCCTAGCAGTTGACAGGTCACTGAACATTCAGTTCCCCAAACAGCTACAGATCCCGAATGCTATGGATGTTTTTTGCTTGTAGAGAAAAAGGCAGCAGAGATTGTATCAGAGAAATTTCCAGATCAACCTCTTTGAAGCCTCTTCATGAATGTACCCCCCCTTTTTAAGTAATAAAACAAATAGTAGGTGATTGAATGAATAAATGGTCAAGATAAAGAGTTTTATTAACTAATTAAAGAGACATCGTCTTATGGCTATGAGTTAACAGTTTAGCTTTCCTTGTGTTTTCTAAGTTAGAAAACACCCAAATGTCTATGGGATGCCTACTTTAAGACCACTTAAATATAGCAATTCATCCTTCATGTCCTTAAATAAGATAGAATATGGACTGTTTCTGATCTTACCACCTTTTCGCTGCTAATGACTAAGCATATTGTGATTTTTCATGTACTTTACATTTTTATCACCAAATTATTGCTGCATAATTTATTAGTACTGCTTGGGTCTAATATTAATAGAGAATTCACTACTAAGAACTTGTTAGGCTACACTTTTCCTCTCCCTACTGAATCAATATGACTTTAAATAGATATCAATCTGCAATAATGATCTTCTTTATTTTTTTTTTATTACTAGTTACTTGAGCCAATCAGAATACCTCTGTTGAATAAACAAATTAAGGGCCAGATATTCTTCAAATTAGAATCTGCTGTGTAGCAAAAATAATCCCCAGAGACTAGGTAGCACCCAGAAACACTCATGACTAATACACAATCAGAGTCTCTCATGACTAACCTATAATCAGAATCTTTTGAGGTAAGATCCAGTGAAGGATCTTTTTAAAAGTACTGGAATGATTTCAAAGTGTGGCTAAGGCAGAGTACCACTGCTGTAAACATTACATACAGTTACGGGCCCCCCATATACTATTGGAGCAAAAGCTGAACAATATTTTCTTTCCCTCTCTGTTAAATAAAATGAGGGTTCAGCACAGAGCTCAGGAAACCTCTGGTTAAGACTTCATGATATTAAAGGGGCAAGCTAGAAGTTTACTAGGAAAGGGACTTTTGCTGCTTTTTTCTTTATATACAGAGCCTTCACATCTATGCAGATGACAAGAGTGTGTTAAGTGGGCAGCAGAGGTAGGGGGTTATCATAAGGGTCAAACAATTTGATGGTTGGAAGTAGGGGTGGGTAAAGAAAAGGGGAAAGATCTGGTGTGAAAAACAATGTATATGAACTTTATAAGTAAACCAGTATTAATACAAAAGTTTTAACTATATTAAAAAAGAATGTGTTATGTGGAAGATTAGGAGATGGACTTAGTAAGACACTAGAAATTTGGGAGGAAAGGCAGTCTCCTTTAGATGTGTTATGATTCTTTTGATCCTTTTATGGATCCTTTGTGTTCATAAAATCTAATGTTATTCTATCCAAATGGTTCTATCTTAATTTAGAATTTTGTTTCCAGAGTTTTAGGAATCACTGAGCTGGCACAGATGGGCCTCATAGATAGAACAGTACAAGCAGCACCTAGCCGACATTCCAGCCCATAATTGGTATTAAAGAAAAGTGTCTTTCTCCTCCCTCCTTTAATATTTATAACTATTTAAAAATAAACTTTATCCAAGTACCTGGTTTATTTTTCTAAGAGCAGCTTCTGCCTCTGTTCGTGTAACATAAGACACGTACCATTCTTCATTTAATGAATTCTGAAAATGTAAGTTTTGGAACAGAATGAATATTATAGTTGCATATAGGAGTAAAAAGAAAAGCCTCCAAGTATTAATTTCCATAAATAATTAGCTCAATTCCATGAAGCTTTAAAGATTTGTTTTCTTAATTTGAATAAAGAATCATTTAAAACCAGTTGCCATAGAGTCAATTCTGGACAAAACCATGTGTGTCAATGTAAAATTGTGTTCCTAGGGTTTTCAGTGGCTGATTTTCAAGAAAAAGTCCAATTTTTCCTTCTGAGGTTCCTCAAATATGTCACTTAGCAGCCAAGCATGATTTTTTGTAGTACATGTTCTTGTTGTGTATCTTTAAATTTGAACCAACTCATAGCAGACCTTCCAGGGGTTTTCTGAAACTATAAGTTGCATAGCAGGAAATTGCCTATCTTTCTGTCATGGAGCAACGGGTAGATTCAAACCACTTGTTTTTGGATTAGCAGAAAAACTCCTTACCCACTAGACCACCAGAGTGTTTTGGCTACTGTTAAATAGTAAAATATACCTGCTGATGCTTCAATAGACAGGACTGGCCATCTATTTCAAAAGACCACATCCACTGAAAGTCTTGAGGAGCACAGCTCTACTCTGGCAAACATGGGGTCACCATGAGTCTGAAAAAACTCAAAGGCAACTGATTCACATAGTAGTTCTTCTCAACAGGCAAGATGAGGTCTAGATAATGTCTTCAGATTTGTACAATAATAAATTTAAGGAAACTGAGTTTAGGAGCTGTTAAATGATAATAGTTATATTCAGGATGAGAGAAGTTCTGTATTGTTAACCTAGACACATCCATCCTTGAATGATTCTGAAAGAATTTATCAAGAGAAAGGGCATATTCATTTTTGTTCAGATCCTCCTCTTAATTTTTTTTCTTAAAAAAAGGATTAGGACTATTAGAAGATAAAGTATAAAAATTGTATATAATGTGACTTTCTGATAATTCATGTGAAAAATACAAATAAAAACACACTGTATTACCTCTTCTGCCCCAGGGGATGGTGGCCGGGGTTTGTTTGGAATTGGTAAGGGAAAGTTTCTGCCTTCTGTTGCAATTCTGGGAGGTGGTCGGTTGCCAGGACCTATAAAAGTACAATTTAAAATTTAGTAATTTAAAAGGAAATTAAAAAAATAATTTAGAAATAAGACTCTTTCCTCCTGGTAAAACTATTCTTTGCAATTGTCTATATAATTAACCTTTCAAGAACTGAGGAATTAGAAATTTTACCTGGTACAAACCACAAGGGCTGCTTAGGCAGCATTACATAACTATGCCAGTAATTTCTAAGATTGGTACTCTGAATTAAAATTATTTCTTACATGTACATATTGTTATTGTTGTTGTTGTGTCCCATTGAGTTGGAACCCATAGCTGACCCTCCAAGACGGTAAATCACATAGGAGGAGATTGTCCTTCTTTCTCGTGCAGAGCAGCTTCTGGATTCAGTGCAATTTCTTACTACTAAGCACGAGAGTTCCCTAAATGTGCATATTGTATCATATAAAGTCAGATGAGCAATCTCTTCACATTATTATTCCCAACCGTAGAAACCTAATGAAGAGTTGCTATGAGTCAGAATCTACTTGATGGCAGTGAATTATAACAATTTACAGAAAAGCCACAGATACATATATGTATGTGAGCATAAGAATAGAATTTCAGACAGATCTTTCATACATTTCCATAATGTCCAGCACACACAGAAGAGATTTCCAACCACTACTGTAGTGACAGGGAGCTAGGTGGCCTAGATGGTAGGGAACTGCTCCAGAGGAGAAAGACAGAACACTTTGTCCTATTGGATTGATAGCCTCTGATAAGCTCTCTAGAGGGTCACCTGTAAGTAGGTTCAGACTAGACACCAATTGAGTTGAGCTGTCTGTAGTGATAATACAATAAAAAGAGGTTATTATTTTCCTCATTGTTTTTACAAGACATTTACATTACCTAGGATAAGATGAGTTTCCTACCATCAGACTTCCCAAAGAAGTTGAGATGTTATCCGAAAAGGGAAAGTAATTACCTGATCATATCTGGTCATTAAGGAAAACTTCAAAGCCTGTCAGTGACCCAACACTTGTGCCACATCTTCTCTAAAACCTTATTCTTCAAGTTCCCTAAAACTTTTTGGGATTTTTTGTGTATACTAATCTCAGGGAAGATTTTATTTTGTTGACTGGTAATTGTGAAAGATGTTTTTGTTAGAACAATTGTTAACTGCTCAAAAACTCTGTTAACTAATTGGTCACATATCCATTTCTTCATACGTTTAGCAAATGTTAACTTAGAACTATTGTTTCCAGGCTTACGCACAGCAAAGGTGGTAAGGATGGCACAGGACTGGGCACAGTCTCATTTTTTTGTACACTAACAGTATTACTGTGAGTCAGAGTTGACTCAACAGCATCTTATAGCAACCAAACCACCATGTCCAGGCCTCGACTGTAGGCCACTTTACCTACATTTCTTAATTGCAGCAAATTATGGGCTAATTGTGGCAGAACCAAGACTTGGAACTATGATTTCCAAACACAGATGAATCATTGAATGACTTTGAATATCCTGAGGTCCGGGTGTCAGTATGTTAACAAGGATTCCAAGTGATTCGGCACCAGGGTTGTTGGCACATCTATAATATGTTGTAAATGGCCAACTGTATCTACCACCTGCCACTGAGGAGAGAAGACTGCCTGCCAGAGCTGTAGATTCCATATTAGCAGAAGTCTTTCACTATTTCTAAGTAAGTTTTGAAGGATGGTACTCACTTTCTAGTGCCTGTTAGATCCCCAGTGCCTAAGTAAGCCTTCCCTTTGATAATGCTTGTGGGATGACAGAAATCTATTAATACAGATGAGTAACACATCCAAGACTAAATACATGGCTGTTTCAGAGATGAGGAATTATTCTTTTTCTTTCTTCACTTTTGTGCCAGCACTGTAAAGTCAACAGCTAAGCACACGTACTTGGGAATTTTTCCCCTCTAAATTTTATTTCATTTTGGTGTTGCTTTTAAGAACAGACACCACAGCACATAAACAAATCCAATCGTTTCTGCATGTAAAATTTAACAACATTGGTTGTATTCTTAGAGCTGTACAACCATTCTCACCTCCTTTTCTGAGTTGTTCTTCACTCATTAATACCAACTGACTGTTCCCTCAGATTTGCATTTAACCTTACAGATTAGCTGTTGTCAATTTGATCCTATATTGGTAGATTTTTAAAGAGCACAAAGTTCAAGAGTGTCCTTTATCGCTTTGTCTTACTAGTTAAACTAAATGATTGTGTTAAGGTAATTTCAGGGTATATTATTAGATAAAATTTAAAGGGATCCAGTTTAAGGTGCTTGTCTAGCCTCCAGGACTTTATAAAGTCTGCATTTCAAGAGAAGTTGAACTTTTGCATTTTCACTCTATCAAGTTTTCTTATGGAATCTTTGGCCAAAATGTTCAGTAATAATATTTGGGTACCATCCAATCTTCAGATCTCATGGCAAAGGAAGCAATTGTTCATGGAGGCAATAATCCACTCATTCAGCCTCCTCTTCATGTTTCTAACTCTCCTTTATTTGTTGTTTTAGATGACTAGAGAGATCAAATGGTATGATAAAACTCCAGGTCCTACAAAATAAAGAGGTGGAACGGAAGTATTGAATACATTGTTCTTGTTGTGTACTGCTGAGTCTGAGCTGACCCATAGCTGACTCTCTGGTAGGTTTTCAGAGGCAGTTATTCACAGGAAAGGAGACAGCCCTTCCTTCAAGGGAGCACCTGGTGACTTCAAACCACATGCCTGCAGGATTGCAGTGCAGCTTCTTGCCACTAAACTACCAGAGCTTCCTCTGAATACATTATTAGGAAATGAACTCGGATGTCCCATGAAATTATGACTGAAAACCTCTAAACCAAAGAGCCAAATCCCATGAAATGTTTGGTTGTACATAAACTATTGCAGTAGTTACTAGTTCATTATTTTTTAAATCGCTGTTGTGATCTATCAAACAACTTTTGCCAATTCAGCTTTTTATAATATACAATCTATTGGTGGTGGTGGTTGTTGTTATGTGCTGTTGAGTCCTCTGCACCTCATAGAAACCCTATGTGTAAGAGCCCTACACCCTCCTCTATCCTGTGCCAATCTTATGGTTTCTGACACACCTACCTACATTACCCTGATCACTGAGTCAATTCATCTCATCAAGGGTCTTCCTCTCCTGTATTTTCCCCAACCCTCCCTAACATGCCATCCCTCTCTAAGGACTGGCCCCTTCTTGCAACCTGTCCAAAGTATGTCAGATGAAGCTTCAGATAGCTTGCCTCCAAAGAGCAGCCTGGTTTCACCTTCTCCTACTTCTTCTTCACCTATTTCTTCTCCTAGTAGTCCATGGTATATTCAACACTCTTCTCCAGAACCACAGCTCAAAGGCATCAATTCTCTTTCTATCATCCCTAGTCATTGTCCAGCTCTCTGACACACAGCAAGAAATTGCAAAGACTATGACCTGGATTATATGCACCTTAGTCTCAAGACTGACATTGTTGCTCTTCAGTACTGTAGAGAGATCTCTGACAGCCGACTTTCCCAATGCAATTTGTCTCTTGATTTCCTGGCTGCTGGTACCAAGAGTGTTGATTATGGATCCAAGCAAACTAAAACTGTTAACAATCTCAATATCTTCACCATCTATGATGCTTGTTCAGTGGTAAGAATCTTTGTTTTCTTGATGTTGAGCTTCAATCCATATAGGAGGCTGCAGTCCTTGACCTTCTGCAGCAAGCACTTCAGGTCTTCCTCAGTTTCAGCAAGCAGGATTGTGTCATCTACATAATACAGGTTGTTGATGAATCTTCTTCCAATCCTGGTGCCACATTCCTCCTCATATAGTCCAGCCTCCCAGATGATCTGCATATAGATTGAAAAGGTATGGAGACAGAATACATCCCTGGCATACATTCTTCCCAATTTTGAACCATGTAGTGTCTCTCTGCTCTGTTCTGAAGATGGCCTCCTGGTTCAAGAATAGCAATTAGAATAATTGGTTGTATAAGGCTACTCTTAATCAATGTAATTTCCCCCAAAACCTTGATTCTGCTTCTTTCTCCTTTTTTTCCTATTCCTGGAAACCAGTAATAAGCTTTGATCTCTGTACATTTGGCTTTTCCTGTTTGTATTTTGTTTGATTTTTTTTTCTGCGAGAGACTGTATAATATTTGTTCCTTTGTGTTTGCTTTATTTTACTGGTTGTGGCTGTTACATGCCATCAAGTTGCCTTTGACTTATATGTTGTACCATATGGACAACAGCTCTGAAGCCTGCCCTATCCTGAGTCAGTCTCACTGACTCCAGCATGCCTACTCCCATTACTCCAGAAGCTGTGTCAATCCATCTTATCTGGGGTCTTCCTCTCCTGCACTGTTTTTTCACCCTTCTAGCCATGATGTCCTTCTCCAAGGACTGGTCCATCCTTGGAGCCCTGATCCATCTGGACACATTTCTGAAGTATGTGAGACAGATCTTGAAAATCCTTGACTCCAAGGAGAAGGTTGGTTTTATCCTCTCCAAGACAGATAATGTTGGTGGGGTCCAACAGATTATGTTATGTTCAATACTCTTCTCCAGCACTAGAACTCAAAGGCATCAATCCTTCTTCCGTCATCCACAGCCATTGTCCAGATCCTTGATGCATAGAAAGTAGTAGAGAAGACTAGGCATTGCTGTACAGACGTAACTCGTGGTTGCTGTGATGCTAAATACTGACACTGATGTGACAAATATGATAATAGTTACCCATGGTGGACAGTGTTTGATGGAGCTTCCCGATTAAAACAAGCTTGGAAGCAGGAGTGGCATCCACTTCTGAAATGGCTTGCTTCCTAAGACTATGAACACTGCTCAGGTCTTTCATTCATAGGGTTGCTACAAGTTGTCTATGACTTGACAAGACCTAACAACAACAAACAACATGGGTTATAACAGGTGCACCTTAGTTCTAGACTGACACTGTTGCTCCTCAGTACTCTGGTGCGGCCCCTGAGAGCAGATTTTTCTAGTGTAATTCATCTTTTGATTTTCCGACTACTGGTGCCAAGAGTGCTGATTGTGAACCGAGCAAGCTGAAGTTGTTAACAACCTCAGTCTCTTCTCCATCTATCATGGTGCTGTCAATTAGCTCAGTAATGGGACTCTGTCTTCTTGGTATTGAGGTTCAACCCATATTGCAGACTGCAGTTCTTGAGTTTCTGCAGCAAGTGCTTTAGGTCCTTTTCAGTTTCAGGAAAAAAGTTGTATCAACTGCATATTGAAGGTTGTTGATACATCTTCCTCCAATCATGATGTCACATTCATCCTCATAAAGTCCAGCCTCCCGAATGATCTGTTCTGCATATAGATTGAAAAAGGTCTGGAGACAATATGCATCTCTGACATACTCCTTTCCTGATTTTGAACCATGCAGTGTTTCCTTCCTCTGTTCTGAATAACTATTCTTCTGGGTCTGAGTATAGGTTATGCATGAACACAATCAAGTGTTCTGGGATTCCCATTCTTCTCAAGGTTAGCCACAATTTGTTGTGATCCACACAGTTAAATGCCTTTACATAATCAATGAAACATAGACATTCCTCTGTTATTCTTTGCTTTTGGCCAAGATTCATCTGACATTGGCAATATCCTCTCTAGTGCCACCACCTCTTCTAAACCCAGCTTTTATTTGGGGGTTCAGATCCACAGAGGTACTTCAGAAGAAAGGCCTCCTTAACTAATCCTGAAGAATCAGCCATTCAATAGGCTGAGAAGCCTGGCTCTACTCTGGCATACACGAGATCACCATGTATTAGAGTCATCTTGATGGGAACTGGTCTGGTTTTGGCTAGTTTCCTATTTAAAACTCATACTGATTTTTCTGTGGCTGAACCAAGAGTTCAGGATAAAAGCATTTTTTTCACTTGTTGTCACAGCACTAAAAATGAAAGTTAATATTTTAAAAATTAATTTCATATTAAAATTCTTCTTTCCTGCTTTCACTGAGGGGGAAAAATATGAAAACAACCAAACTGCAAATCTAATATCACCAAATCCTTTTCTTAACATTAGTAACTTTCTATATACATTCAACAGTTATTTAACAAACATTTAAAACCCACCTACTATGTACCATTTGAAAGGTATTTAAGTTTAAACGTAAATATAATCTAGCTCTACTTGGTGTATTTTGCTAAAACGGTCCATGAATCAAGAGAATCAGCATCCCAGGACTTAAGAACCATAAATGACATAGCTGAGCCTCTACATCTTGTGGTTCCTAACCTCTACACTATAATAGACAAAGTGCTAGTCTATAGGCCCTTTATTGTAAGAACCACCTTCCCTCTGTAACTTGATTTGTGTCACTATTAGAACCTCTACTTGGAATATTATTGCTTTTTAATCTTTGACTCATGTACTTTTAACTTGTTAGTTAAATTTGTGTCTTCTAGGCTGCAATACTTCCATGATACATCTTCAAGGATATGAACATGTACGGCTAAACACAATTGATAACAGTGTATCTAAATTCCAAAATCAATCTCCATAATAGTCTATGTGTTTCCTACTGCCAAAGGGGCCCTTTAGAGTAGTGAGAGAAGATATTCACCCTGAAACCTACAGCATCCCTTTTCACTAGGAAGTAGCTAAGAGAATACGCCATCCCCTTTTCCTTATGAATCAGGGTGAAGTCTCTCTCAGGGAGGAGTGATAGGGAATGGCAAGGGACACACTGACAAAGGAGATTAATCAGAACTGGCTTTGACAAGCACTGTGGCAATTGGACAATTAAAACAGACATTCGGGGGAGGGGGGAAGAAGAACGAACTGGGGAGGAGGGTAGAGAAAACAGTGCAACAATGAATGAATGAAAACCCAAAATCTCTGTAAAAGTTCATTAAAACTAATAAAATTTAATAATAATTTTTTTTAAAAAAAAGAGAATCAGCATTATCTTGGAGATGGTTAGAAAGGTTAGATGGGCCCACTCTAGAATTAAAAGTCTGCATTTTTATAGAAACCTTAGGTGGTCTGTGTACACATTAAGATCTAAGAACACTGCTCTGAGAAATAACTCATTATGGCCATTAGGAGGAGGTATGGATTGAAAATTAAGGTCTCTGGATCTCACCTAAACTAACAGAATCAGAATGTTTGGAGTTGTGTTCTATTTATTTGTGCATAAAGCTAGCTCCCTGGGGGATTCTTTCAACATATCTCCTCATTGCTGTCAGAATTGACTCATAACTCACCCTTCAGTGAGTTTTTTATGTGAATAACATAAGAACAGATTGTCCATCTTTCTCTCCTACAACCTCCGGTGGATTCGAACCACCCACCTCTGTGTTGGCAACACAATTTCTACCCACCAAGTTGCCAGAGCTCATAGTGCTCTCATTCACAGTTGGAAGGCAGATACATCCTGGAAAACTAATATCACAGGGAAAGATAAATGTTAAATCCAGAGATCTGTAGGAAAACAAAGGACAAAAATATGAATACATACCTGGTAGAGAGGTAGTTGTATTTGGAGGGGGGATGAGGGTGATGGTGTGTGTGTGTGTGTGTGTGTGTGTGTGTGTGTGTGTGTGTGTGTGATTTTATATAATTTCAAAAGCTCTTGGAACACTGCAGGCACTGAATTAAATGTTGAATAAGGCAGTAATCTGGCTTCAGGGAACAACAAAATCTTTGTCAAATGTTTTGACAAAGGAGGTAACTAGAATACAAACCTTGAGAGAAGTATGGTGGCAGTGAAGCACTCTGTGGAAAATTGCTATTACTGTGGAGAGAGAAAAAGAAGAGATTTTTAAGTTGGGTTGTGGTAAAGGCACAAGTTGGAAAAAGTGGATTTTTCTCATTCCCCTCTGAAAGCCTGGGATCTTGGCAAGAAAGGTAAGGAATAGAAGTAACCCACAGGGTTTTCAAAACTGTAATCTTCCTAGATTACAATCACATTGTTTTTGAGAAAACAATCTGCTAAGATTTTACCAGGGTTCACAATCAAGGCTCTCAGAAGCAGCAGACAAGAAATCAAACAATGCGTTGCATTGAGCAAATCTGCTGAAAATAATAAATAAAATTCTTCTAATCTGTTTATAAAACAAAATGTCACTACAAAACCTAAAATGTGCCTGACCCTAGAGAGGCAACCCTAGAGAGAAGAGAGGCAGCTAGGTGGCGTGCAAGAAGGGAGAATGGCAGGGAATGGCAGCCACACAAAAGAGCAGAGCAGCCGCAGGAGAATGGAACCGCAGCAGAGAGAGACCAGCATCACAGAAGTGACTGGAGGCCTGAGCCACCACACCTAGGATTGGCTAGGGGGAGGGTGAACGGAATACTGGCTGAGTGGGGTGGAAGTCAAAAGGGGAGGGGTGGAAGTAGATGTTGGTGAAGCAGGACAGGGGGACAGATCACAGAGTCCTAAGAGAGAGGGGTTGGAGTTAGGGTTATTTTAGTAATGGGAACTATTTTTCATCTGCTCTTGGGGGTAAAATGCTTGTCTTCCAGATGTTGCTCTAAAGCTGAGCATATAAATTAAGGCAGATTAGAAAGAAGGATTGGCTATGCACTCCTAAAATAACAGACCTTTGAAAACCCTATGCACAATAAAGCACACTTAGATTAGACTAGCAGATTTGACACCTGAGGCAGAGCCCTCTAGTTGGCAAACACAAAGGAAGAGTAACAGTTTCAAGCATAACTAGTGATTGGAACATGGAATGTGAGAAGCATAAATGTAGGGAAATTGGCTATTGTTAAGAGAGAAATGGAATGCAATGCAAGCTATTGGCAAAATGAAATGCATTGGCATGGGACATTTTGAATCAGACAGTTATCTGATCTACTATGCCAGAAATGAAAAGATGAGGAAAAGCAGGGTCTCATTTATAGTTAAAAAGATCATTTCCAGATCCATTTTAAAATGCACTATTGCGACAGGATAATATTCACACACATACAAGGAACATCAGTTAATACCACCATCATTCAAATATATGCACCAACAACCAAAGAAGAGGAACCAGATGATTGCTACCCACTGCCTGCTTTTTCTTTTTCAGTTGCTTAGCCATTGACTTAACATACATTTGACTCAAAGGATGTTGAGTTAGAATTTAAGGACATTGTCACGAACCTTTCTGAGAATGTTCCAGGCTTGTGAGGTGATGAGAAAGATTGCTTGGAGGTAAGCTTTGATACTGCAGGGAAAGTGCTGGAATTCATGGGGAGGAGCGCTGGTTGGGGCAAAGGCCTGTGATGTACTGTGAGGAGAAGACAAAAGTGAAAAAAGGCTGACAGGAGTCATATCCCAAGTATCCCCAAAGAAAATTTCCGAACCACTCTCCATATAGGCCCAGTAAAAAGCCATTAATGTGAAGGGAGTACAAAAATGCTAAAGATGAGATTGAGCTAAAAAAATAGGTGACGAGAATGTCAGTCCCTAAAGTTTTTCTAGAGATCCTACCACCTTAGAATGTATTTTTTTAAATTATCACTCTGTATTATTCTGTGTAATATTATTTATCTTATTTCTTTAATTTCTTAAATGCTCATTTAGCAGAAAATCATTGTCTGAAGAGCTTTCACTTTTCAGAAGTCTCATTTTGCTTTGCCTTGTTCTATTTTATGAAATTATGTGACCTCATTGATTAGCAGTATGTTGTTCTTTACTCACACATATCAAAAGGCACACATATTAGACATTTTTTTTATCAAATCACATGTAATTTTAAATTTTATGGAACAGTTAAATAATCTGCGCTATTCCAGATTGAAGTTAATAGTTGCCTTTGGTAACTCAACCAAATAATTTTATTGTCTTAAATATATCAACTACTTAAAATTTACGCATTTACTTAAATTTATCAAGTATAATGGATTCTACGAGGGTTCTATACTAAAAAATTGTATTGGCATGCCTGAGTGAAAATATGAAGAAATATTATAAGTTATAAGAAAGGTGTTCTTTTTAAAAAAAAAAACCAAACAAAAAACCAACACATACCATCATCTTCATCCTGGTAAGAGGGAGGAAAAAAGAAAAAAATTATCAAAACATTATGCCAAAAGAACTACTCTCTCCAATTATTTCAGTGTGTTTCTTTGCTATATGTTTCTGCATAATAAATACACTGTAGAGAACATTTTGCCCAACATAAATAGCCATCTAAGGTCATGTCAATTTGAGGCTTTTCATATATTCATAAAATAGATTTTTTTTCTCATCGTCAAGGTTATCCACAATTTATTGTAATGCACAGAGTGGAATGTCTTTGGATAGTCAGTAAAACACAGAGAAGCATCATTCTGGTATTCTCTGCTGTTAGCCATGATCTATCATCAGCAATATTTCCAACACACACAGTGAAGTTGAATTTTTTGTTTCATTTATTAAAATTTTTT